TATTTTCTATAAACAGTGTACTGTATATTCAAGAATATATAATATTTTATTATGAAAACTCATAGAAACACTTGTGTTTATGAGTGCTAGCTATACATGTAGGCGCATTATATGCCTGTCCATCACATATTTTATGCTCGAATATTTAAAATTTTAATTAGTGAGCCACTCGTAATTCCTTAGCCCATAGAAATTGCTTTAATTTTTAATTAATGAAATAATTTCTCAAAAACAGCGGTTCAGTGTTCAGTACCGGAGGACCCCCTCAATGGCCGAGCCCTGTACACGTCGGTGAGCTACGACTCGGTGGTGAGGTATGAGTGCAAATACGGCTTCAAACTGCACGGCCCGGTCAACAGGACGTGCGCCAGTAATAAACACTGGAGTGATGAACAGCCCAAATGTCAGGGTATGCCACGAGAGATGATTTATGATCTCATTTATCCCTACACTCTATGCTCGCATTTCTCATTATCACTAATTTAAGTCTAATTTTTCATGAAAATTCTTGAGCTAAATATTATTAAAACAACTAAAGAATCCCTGATTTTGAGCTTTAATTATAAATTCTTAGCGTACGGCACAAGTAGTTTTCAATATACGTACAGTACTTATGTGCATAATAAAGGCCTCCCATTGTTTTGCAGCTAACTGTGAGACTCGAGTGGAGAGAGGGAGAGAGAGAGAGAGAGAGAGCAAAAAAATTATATATAATTGCAATAAGAGTTATGAAGACTATAAGACTATGGAGAAGATTAAGGGAACAGAATATTCTTTATTAGAACTCACTTTTCATACATAAGTTGTGCACAGAATCTCTCACTCTTTTAGGGCTTTTTATATGAAAAATGTTGAGAATATCTTATATGTGGATATAAATGAATGATTTTCATCACATATTTAGGGGAAAACAAAAGAAAATTATGATAAAGTAGTAGAAAAACAACAGAAGAAAAGTAAAAGAATTCATTTAATTAATTATGAGAATATTTTTTATATCATTTATATTTTTGTGCCATAATTTTTTCTCACTATATTCCTTATTAATAGACAACTCAATTGCTAAACCTGTCATTGACTATACATTCAAAAAAATCAATTATCAATTTTCATATTCAATATTTATTGATGATTTTGTTTGATGCGGATTTTAATTAATAAAACTTATGATTGTTTTTCATACAATAAAATATTAATGAATTTTTTAATTAGTTTGCAAATTGAGAAATATTTTTATATTAAGTATATTACAAATAATTCGCAAACACTTTTACACAGATTACTTTTCAGTACTCTACTACACCCTTGGATGAATAAAATAAATATAACTTACTTGAATTGATTCATAAGTACACAAATTTGATCTCTTGAGAATATTATACTATGTTTATTATTTCACAAGAATTCACAAAAAATATAAATACCATAAAACGTTTACCATAATAAAGATTTATTCATTATTTAGATTTTTATTGTATTAATACATAGTAATAATAGATAAAATGTAATATTTCTTAGATCCTATGCCATAATATACAAGAAATCGTAGTTATTGAGAAATGTATACTTTGTACTTATTATTACAGTACAAATCTATATTTTACTGAATAAGTAAATTGTATAATATTCTATGAAAACTTACTTAAAATGTAACAAATTAATTAATTAAATTTAAGACATCCTTTCTTATTCATCAAATAAATAAATAATTTTATTACTATCAATATTAAATATACGATATTTATTTAATTTAAAATCCAATTAATAATTTTAATTAGTTACATTAAGTAAAATAATATTGTTCAAATATGTTTAAAACATACAAAAATGCGATTCACTAGACACAATGTACTGCATATAATTGAATATTTAATTTGTATGAAACACAGTTGCCTACTTTCATAAGGTATAAGTTTTCAGTGAAAACCTCTAATCCTTAACAAAAAAATATTAATTCAATGAAAAAACTCTTGATGTTTGAAAAAATTTGAAAAACATTATAAAGTTATAAATAAATAAATATTTTTATAATTAGGTTTTAGAGTAGAGATAAGAGCACATAAATTATACAGTATGTTTAAAATTGAAATACCTTTTTAAAAGTAATTTAAATTGTATAACTTATTTGATAAGAAAATGTATGGATTGGTTACAGAAATAGATTGCGGTTCACCGGGTATTATACACAACGGGTATCTGGAAGTGAGGCGAACCATATTGGGCTCAACCGTCTATTTCAAGTGTTTCGATGGCATGACCTTTCAAGGGGACAGTAATTCAACCACTTGTTTGGACACTGGCAACTGGTCCAACCCTTTACCCAATTGTTATGGTTTGTACACTTAATGATCATTTATTGCATTCAAATTAATTTCATATTTAAAACACTATTAGATCATTTCATAAGAAATAAAAAACTAACATGATAACTTTTTGTATAATAAAATGTTACTAATAAACATAAAGATTGTGTAGTATGCATGAAACATGAATGATTATTAGTATAAATGATGAATTAGACCAAAGTAATGATAATGACATAACAAACTGATTGGTGAACAACAGCTCCCTGTCTGGTGCCGGAAGTGGACAACGGAAGAGTCAATCTGTTTCCGGTCAATCAGATGGTATCTCACGGACAGGTAATCAAAGTTGACTGCAAACCACAGTACGAACTCCACTACAACACCACTGAAGCCATTTGTAATAACAGCTCCTGGACTCATGTGCCTCAATGTGTTCCCGGTCTGTCCATTAATATAATTTTTATGAATCAATTATTTGATTACTTAATGTGTGAATTGTGTGACAGCCAGGTGCAAAATAATGCCTGAGAAGCCTAAAAATGGTTTAGTGATCGCACCGAAAACAGATCACGGGATGAAAGCCTTATACCGTTGTAGAGATGGATTTACTTTGGAAGGGCCTAACCTTACAGAATGCAATTTTGGAAAATGGACCGGGATCACTCCCAAATGTGTCGAAGGTATTTAACAATGATTGCCTACAATTTGTTATTAATTTGTAAATCATTACAATTGTATGGTTTCTAGTCTACTGTCCATTTCCTGGGTTTGTGGAGAACGGAAAGGTATTACTTGTGGGTCATATGGGAATGTATGACTACAGGCCTTACGTCAAGAAAGTGACAAACAATAAACAAATACTGTTTGAATGCGAGCGCGGCTACCACTTAATTAACGGACCTCCCGGTGCCACGTGTGTGGACGGCCAGTGGTCTCCTCAAGACTTACCGCAATGTATCCGCGGATCGCATCCGAAGATGCGTTGGTTGCGGACCTCTGACAACAAACGGCGCCGCAGATGGATATTACGGGAAATGAATTATGGATCCAATGCTCACCGGAGGAGATCCAGACCTCGAAGGCATCAGAAGTTTAAAGGTTAGCATTGAGTCAATAGTTGTCACCACTTCTAATGATTCAAACAATTGTGTTATCAATTCATAGCTTCGTGTAAACCACTGAAAGAAAATCAATGGATGAAGATATCGGTGGTTAAGTTTGGAGTGGGAAATGAGTCGTTCCCACATGGCACACGAGTCAGGAACTACTGCTCCAACGGCTACCTGTCCAACATCGGTAACCTAACGGCTAAGTGCGCCAAAGGTGTTTGGAAACCTCGTGAACCAGACTGTCATATCGGTATTCATATCATATTTTAATATACGTTTTATGGCACAACACTTATATGATTGTCATTTTAAACGCCAGCCCCGTGTCTGACGCCATACGCAGTCAATGGCTATTACTATCACCGAAATACTCAGCTAACAATCGCCCATAAGATATCTCACGGGGACGCCATTCGCTTGGGCTGTATGTCTGGCCACCAACTACAGGGCGCGCCGACTATGCGGTGCTGGTATGGCGAGTGGACGGGCCCACAGCCCCAGTGCATAGCAGCGCCCTGTTCTCTGCCCAGCATAAGGAACGGCTACTATTCCGGTGGCTATCGCGCGGGTCTCACCATATCTCACGGCTCTGTACTCGAGTTTCACTGCAAACCCAATTACGTGAAGGGAGTACAGGAGCCGCCCCGTTGTTTCGAGGGCCGACTCATGCCCGAACCGCCCCATTGTATTGAACACGACTTAGTCATGAATGTTCACAACACTAAGGTTTGTCTCAAACTATTTTTAGGCCATAAATGCCATAAATTTGAATTAAATTATTAGGCCATCAATGCTGACGAGTCGGTAATAGATGTGCCAAAAGCACAGTCCGTCGACCCGACCATTGTCTACAACACGAGTACGTCGACTGAGATGCTGTGGTGCGAACCGCCCGACAAATTGCAAAACGTTTTGAAATACGAGTCGAGTTTTAATAGAAATCATTTGCCGCTCATAAGTATCGCACAAATCAACTCAAATGAACACAACCTTACATCAGACCCATTGACCACAAGTACAGGCGCTTCCACTACCACCACCACAACCACCACTACTACACTCACTTCCACCGCATTGTATAATAAACTCATCGAAATGACCACAACTTATTTGAGTGACATTTTAAACATAACTGATTTATACGAGTCGTTGAACGAGACATTGAGTGCCAATACGAGCGCCGACACCACGGAGTCGGCCACACAGTCACAGGAGAAGTCATATCATCCGCACGGCACGGAAATTGTGTTCAAATGTTTGCCCGCAATGAATGGCGCGAGGAATACCTGGACCATCACTTGCGAGGATGGGGGTTGGATAGGGAGGGCATCCAAATGCGGTATCAAATCAAATAATTTCTAATTAATAACTCATTTTAATTAATATTTTGATTTAATAGAAGAGGATTTAGAGGCTCTCAGACTCCGTGAGAATAATAGCTGTGTTTACATGAACTCAGACCCCAATGTCTGGGCATTTATTGGCGACAACCGGATCAATGAGTACGAAGAGCTTCCCGCCGGAACTCAACTGATTATTCGGTGCAAAGATATCGGCAAATATAACCTCATTGGCAGTAAAACCCGTAAATGTGTTTATGGGGAATGGGATGGAGAAAGACCCCAATGTTTTGGTCTCTCACAGGAGAATGATTACGCGCGTCAGTCATTCAAATCAATTGCATTCATTGAACACCAAATTAAGGGTTACTTTATATTTGAATTATAGTGGAAAAGCCGCCCACCATACTATTTCGACACCAATTGGGACCAATAGCTCAGAGTGTGGATGGAAAGTTGATTGTTTACCCTGGTACTATTTTACATTTAGAGTGCTTATGGAAACGCAAATTTGGTGCACCTGTCTGGGAATGGAGTCATTCATTTAGGAAATATAATCAAGGTATTTTTTAATTTCTGAAAACCCTTAATCAAATAATTATAAGTTTTGATCTGATTTCATGAATTGATGAATAGATTGGACCACAGAATCGGGTCGTGATTCGGGTCTGGAGTTCCGTTTGAGTATATTTCACACACAGAAAGAGGACTCAGGACTATATACCTGTCGGACCCCTAACTTCCACAGACATTCCGTTGAGATAATAGTTAAACGTATGATTGAACCAATTTGATCAAAATTAATAATTATATAATTAAACATTCATTTTATGTTAAATAGCGGTTCACTGTCAACAGCTCGTAGAGAATGAAGGCCTCAAAATAATAAGCCCTTCCTCTAAGATGAACGCAAAGGCATTGTTCACGTGTCGGCCCGGTATGAGACTTAATGGCAGTGATAGTGCCGAATGTCTTCCATCTGGTAATTGGTCTTCAGATGTGCCAAACTGTTTGAGTCAGTATTCCTCCGGTTCTCATATTTTAATATAATTTGTAACCATTTTTATAATTTAATGAATTTATTCTCGACTTCAGTAACGGAATGTCCGGATCTGATGAATACAACTGAATCCGTAGTCATTGATAACGAGACGGACTCGAAGTCTGTGTTAAAAATCTCAATGAATGGTAGATATGTTGGTGATGTGACCACGTTTTCCTGTCCTATCGGATACGGTCTTAAAGGGAAGTCTGAGATCACTTGTCTGGAGTCAGGCCACTGGTCGGCAGCAGTTCCTATGTGTGAAGGTATTACGAGTTGAGCTAGCTAGTTTAGACTATTTCATTGTATTAAACAGAACCAGAATTTCATTCAATGCTTTTTATAATATACTTTTCAATTTGAGTTTCTAATAATACATTGAATGATTCAAAAATATTAATATATTTACTTAAATGAGTGAATATTTTACGTCAAAAATCTGATTAAAATTCCTACGAATTCTGAGAAAACATGTAAAATATTTGTAATTTTAATTCAATTTATTATTACGGTATTATATTTTACACTTGCGTTAACGTACAGAAATAGATTTTCTTATTGATAAGACTGCATAATCTTTTTTAAATAATAATTATTAAAATAATTTTAATCCTATTATTCAGTTGTTATGACATTTCAAACTCAGTATTAACAACAGTTACTGTCAGTATTCATTAACTGTTTCAAATATAATTATGAATACATACAGTAAATACTTTATAATATAAAGTTTATATGCAAGTTATCAAACTTAATTGTAAAAATATTTTTTTGATTTTAACATTTTAAAATTAAATAACGTTTATCATTAATTATGTGATACACAGAAGTATTTTGCGAAACACCTGCCATACCAAAGCACGGATACCTCCAGGGTGACAAAATACAGCGATTCCGGGGCGGGGATATCGTACAGTTTACATGCGATACGGGATATATGCTAGAAGGCAACCCTATTGTCATTTGCCAGGAGAATAGCCGTTGGTCTGGACCACCACCTAATTGTAAGTGACGATAACTACACGAAACTCTTGACAACCTAGATAACTCATCTATTAACTTACCTGCCAGGTGTGCCTGCGTGTACATACCCGGGTACAACGCACGGGGGCATCATATCGATAGTGAAATTTTTCTATAGCGTCAACGAAACCGTACGGTTTGACTGCGCGGACGGCTATGACATGAAAGGCAATAGCGTTTTGAAGTGTATGGAAAGCGGCCGATGGAGTAGTGCTGTCCCCGAGTGTAATCTCTCGCGAAGGGGTTGACCTTAATATTGAATTTCTAAACAATTGTTTTTCTAAAATAAATTGAATTGAATTTCTAAATGAAATATTTAATGAGCGGCTAATGAACCGAAATATTCTTCATTAAGCATTAAATGTGATAAAAGCCATCAATTGAACAGCAATTATGCATATCATATGTGTGTATATATAAGATGCAAATAATTTTTTCACATCATATTTCATAACTAAATATTGTATTAAAATAAATGTATTCATCAATAAATCGTATACCAAACCCATTAAGAAAATTGTTTGAGACAAATTTAATTTTCAACAAAACTCACATTTTTTAATATACCGTAGTTATAAATATTATAATTATATAAAATATTTCAGTATAAGTATAAATATAAATATTTTTATAATTATTAAATATTTTAATTTATAGCTAATTTAATGGGCAAATTTTTGTTTAAAACTTGATAATGTTAATTGGATTTGAATTTTATTGACTTTAATTTTGAGAGCAATATAAGTGACAATCCGGAAAAAGACTAAATGTATGCACAATAGGCGCCAATACTTATCAAAATCTTTGTCCACCAATAGATAACGATATAAGACATAAGAGATGTAATCGGGAGGGAAGTCATTGAAACCATAAAACCAAAGGCGCATGTAATTAAAAAAGGGTACAAACTGTCCATATTTGCTAAATGCTTTAGAAAGTCATTTAATTCACGAAACGGAATCATAATATCACCCAGACCAATGTGAATGAGTACTATCATAAGGGCGACTAATACACTATAATCTTCAAACAATATCCCGTAGATATGTCCCCAACATTGATGCGATGACATGCATAGAGTCAACACCAATAGCATTGCCCGGAATGTGTGATCCTTTTCATAACCGTCGGCAATACAAACCCCCAAAACAAGGACTATCAACGATGGTATCAAATCCAGTAGAGACCGGACCACAAAGAATGATTCAGTGCTGTACCAAACTGACCCACATCAAATTAATATTTTGCAAATTTAATAAATTGTATTAAAACTCACAATTCCTGTGTTCAGTCAAAAATAGTTGAATATGTGCTGACATTTTAAGTGTGGCTAAAAACACATGAAAGAATGACAAGGCACAAATAAAAAATATCGTGTATGTGAGTTGATATCCAACAATTTGAAAGTGCTCCATATCTTGGGGCGTTTGTCGGCAACCATAGGACCCATTGGAAGTAATGGGTATACAAGTTGTCAAAATCAAAGTTAAAGATAAGTTTTGTGAAGTATACGGTCGCCAATTGCACGGCCATCTCGAGTAACAATATTTTCCATCCGTATCTTAAAATATTGGCCACAGATCTGTTCAGTAGATAAGAGAATTCAACCATTATTTCCACCAAATTTTGGGTCACTATAAAAACACCAGTGCTATACCAATCTAGAATATAGATAAATATTTATTAATTAAAGCATCGAGTACTCCTTGTTATGAAACGTTTGTTTTCCAATCAAATAGCAGTCGAAAGCATTTAAAGCAACTTTGGATTGATTTCCATTTGAAGTCACTTTAGCACCGGAACTGGTCTTAGATCTAATGAATCCATTCGCTAATGACTTGATATCCAAATCGTAAGTATTGACGAGACTTATCACTCCAAACGCGCCGACTGTCCACAATTTGTCAATAAATTTTATTAACATCTCTATTATTAACTAAAACTTCTCTGAATACCTTTTAGCTCCTTATTAGTGATAATCTCATGACTATTGGACACAAACTGCGAGTCAAACGTCACATTCAATGCATTTGTATGGTTAGAGTGACCACCGATTTGTCTGATTTGGACATCACTTAAGCGCTGGTCTTTGGTTCGCAACAAATCCTTCACTTCTTTCCAGTCGATAGCCATTCGTCTGATGAGGAGATATACGTCGAGTGGATGTCCTAAAAGTGATCCCTCGGTGTCCTCTTTCAGTGCAATTGAGTTCAAACCCAACGACTCGTCTGTCAGTCGTCTTAAGCGGGAATTGAGGACCTCTTCGGACCCCAAATATTCACTCAACGACTCAATCATTGCTTTCTTCCCTCGGTGTCCTCTTTCAGTGCAATTGAGTTCAAACCCAACGACTCGTCTGTCAGTCGTCTTAAGCGGGAATTGAGGACCTCTTCGGACCCCAAATATTCACTCAACGACTCAATCATTGCTTTCTCTTTCGTTAAGAGATTCTCTAGTTTTGCGAAATCACTGTTAAAGCCATTCACTCGTCCACTGAATCTCAATGAATAATACAATACAAAACTTATAATTACGAAACTCTTCATTTTGAACACACGATATGTTTAACTATTTTTTCTGATAAAACTTTTGACTAAAACTAACAGTAAATTCTGAAATTTATTTGAAATGAATGCAAGAATACAATACACTTTTTGAATAGTCTATGAATACAGAGAATATTATAGTTAGTCATACAGTAATGTTTAATAAGGATAGCCAATTCGTGCACTATTATTAGGGTTGAAAATAGTATAAATTGTATGGGAAATTATATAAATTATATTTTTAACAGCGATTCCACTTTCTTTTTAACGACATATAAATCCCCTGTCTATTAAATTAATAATGAATTATCTATATACCCGTAGTCTAATAGCCATTTACGAAAATCCTTCCAAACGGTCATCCAAGTTGGTAACATATAAATCCTACCGGTGCCTTATTTTCAAAATTTCGATAACATTTCTTAAATTAGTAGAATCGCCGGTAGGCATCGAATTGCCTGTCAATCCTTGTTAAAAATTAACATCATCTAGCTACATATTTGAAATATATGTATATAGGGCAGTGCATTTTAGATACTCAGCTATAAATTAGTATATTTTTAAAAACTTAGAACATTTCAATGCTAAAATTATCAATACTATGTGTTTGTTTAATACTTTTGTCAAAAATTAAGTCTTATCTCCTATTAATTCTCGAGCAAAAAAAGGATTAAGTCAATATAACTTTAAAATCAAAAATCTAATCAATTATACCCTTACCTTTGCCAAAGGATTGTTATCAGATAAACCTTTTACTGGTTGACAAAAATATTAAATTAAAATCTTTTCTAATGATTTTTGTTTACTGATTTTCTTAAATTATTGATAGATATTGGTGATAACGATATTTTGAAATGTTCTAAGTTTTTAAAAATATACTAATTTATAGCTGAGTATCTAAAATGCACTGCCCTGTATAATGTATAACATAAATAGTTTAAAAATAATATGAAGCTAGAATTTTAATGTTGGAATAATTTAGTTTTACTGTTATAATATTTTACTATAAAATATTCACTATATTTTAAATTATGTTTATTTTCAAAAATAAAATATATATTTCATANGTTTTACTGTTATAATATTTTACTATAAAATATTCACTATATTTTAAATTATGTTTATTTTCAAAAATAAAATATATATTTCATAAATTATATGAAATTTATATAATTTATTATAATTTAACAACCCTAACTATTATACTGTATACGTCCATACTAATAAATTTTAGTAAAATAAAATATGGTGAGCGATTTTAATTAAAATAAATTAATCATTCAATGATTAAATTTTATAGATATTGTTAACATAGTATTTATTTTTAGCCTGTAGTTTGAGTTTAATTTAATTAAAACAATTTATGATTCAGTTAATAAAAACTCTGAAACAATGATTAACCAAAAATCCAATAAAACCATAAATTGCAAATAAAATTATAACATTTATTGAGGACAAAAATATTTACATATTATTAGTTACTTAAATAAAATGATGTATGAATATAAAACATAATTATTTCATTTATTCATTAATAGTATTAAGCGATTCCGAGTTAATAATAACACAAAAGTTGTCGTTCCGGTCGTTACGAGTGATCACATACTTCTCATAACCATTGCGGACAACAGTAGGCAATGAATAGTTGCCACTAATAGTCTTGACGGGTAGGGCCAGAGTGGCCACCTCTTCCCTCAGGCGACAGTTCCT